TAAAAGTACTCACCTCACAGGGTTTGAATTTCAAGCTAATCTTATGAATTTATTTTAGAAATCCTTCATTTACACCAAACTCTAACCACTACATGGCCCATAAAATCTCATTTTTAATCTGTTTTGGAAATATACCCACAGCCTAACAGACAAACGGTCATTAAACCAGAGCACACAATAACAGGGTGGGTGGGAGGGGCAGATAAGTGCCCGAACGCCGATAAACTGCAGACAATGTGGACGGCCTTGACAACCACCAACAAAAGCACCAGAGACTCAAGATCATACCCATCGTTAAAAATACTATAGGTTTATACACAAGTCAGAAAACATCAAAGAATTACAAATACAGTAAAGAGAACATAGGACGGACATACAGGTTCCCTTTACTCTGCATTCGTGTGTCCAGCCACACCCATCTTCAAACTCAAACCTTTATCTGGCTTTGAATTATTGTACACACCTGAGACCAGAGGCATTTCACACAAGAACCCTGGACAACATCTGGAAAAACAGGTCTGTGCTTTTGTAGGAGGCTAACTTGAGTTATATTGCACAGTTACACACTACTAGACACTATTGCACTGACAAAAATCTGTCTCCAGACATGCAAACAAAACAAGAAAAAACCCCACAAAGTAATGCTATTGTGGTTACTGGGTGGAGATTTTGCATCACTGAGCTTGTGGTTAGATGGCAACAATCTATATGTCATAAATTACACACAATCAATCTTCCACAGTGCCGTTACTTCACTGGATGGTTATAAAGATCATTTTGCTTAATTCAAGTATCAAAATATAATGATTTTACTAGTAAACTCACTTCATACTTAAAATGACAACTTCGTGCATGATGATATTGCTTGTGGCGATCCTTCATTGTGACAAGATTAGTATTCCTAATAAAGATTTTCTAAAGCATTTGTCACTTAATCCTAATGGCATTTTCAAAAGACAACTCCTCAGGGGCAAAATGCAAGCCAATAAAATACACGAATTACAACATGTGAGAGTCTGTTGACAGAGTGCACGTGGATCTCCAGGAAATTCGCGGTTCACTTGTGTTTGTGTGCTTTCTAAATTTTGCCTGATGTCCAGTGTGCACTAAGCCAATTACACAAGAGCCACAAGCAAGGCCATTTTACCATCACCTTTTCATTAAATTATAGAGGAACGAGTAATAGAAGTATGGCCTTTAACCATGTTCCATAAACTTATATGAGAGGTTTTAATTTACCAGTGAGTGTTCGGACTTATGTCTGTAGTAGTTAATTATCACAGAAGCAACTAGTTTCTTCTATAGGACGGCTGGGCTATGTAAAATAAGTGAGTGCAATCCTTGTCTCCTGAGATACCAGGATCTCCAGATATCCAGAAGCTCAGAGGAGAGCTACCTTTCCTTTGTGTCAAAGGCAGCCTGCTGAGGTGGCTGGAGCATCTAATCAGAATGTCTTATGGGCACCTTCCACTGTGGAGATTTTCCAGGCACACAGCTGACAGGAGACCTCGGTGTAGATCTAGAACTCACTAGAGAGATTATTAATCTCATCCGACCTGCGAGTACCTCAGAAATCTCCCACGGGAAACTGGAAAATGCTACTAGGGAAACAAATGTCTGCTTTTGTATGTCATTAAAATTTGATCTCATCTAATAAGGTCACTTCATAGTCCATCTGAAATGTCACGTCATGTTGACAGAAAAGGCTAGTGGGAATAACACACACACTCATTTCCTGTGTGTGTGTGAGTGTGTAACAGACACTGGTATCTATTCAAAACAGTCTTGACTATGACTTAATAGCCAAACTCTAAAATCAAAATGTAAATTCAGTGGTTTTGATTACGTGGAGCAAAACCCTGTGAAAAATCTGTGTGTGCGCTTCGAAGCTGCAGGATGCCATCGCTGTGGTAACTGATGCCGAGCTGCAGTGAGAGGAACTCGAGTTGCAGGCAGGGAGCCGGGTCACAGGAGAAGCAGGGGGTGCACAGGAAATTAAGCCTGCACATACTATAACCACGTTAAAGCTGTCCACCACAGCCTGAACATAGGCTCCTCAGTCACAGCGTGAAGGCTGACATGGTAAAGGTAATACTCTGAGGTATGTTCAGACTCTGCAGTGTTTTTGCAGTATTTGCAAGAATGTCAACATAGCAAATATTAAATCATCCCTTACTGTTAAAAACAGTTTTAAAGAACGTTTGAGGTTTTTTTTTTTTTTTATAACTGTCCAGCTTTCATACCAATAGTCATATAAAAACAAACAGATATGTGTTAGCGGAAATAGATAACATCAACTCGCATAACAGCAGCTCTCAGACCACAGATTATCATCTCCTGTAAATAACATTACTTGTGCTGCCTGTCTTGAATTAGCTGAAACCATAACAGAACAGCTAGGTATGCATTTCAGCTGTTTCCGTGAATCCCACTGTGAACCCCCACTCCAACTGACCCAAAGTACAGATTCAGAAATGATATGGTTCTTCGTGACTACAGACAAATTTCACTAGGTTTTATGGAACAAATCGCTCACCACATCAAGGTGGACCGCAGCCCTGAAAGTTTCTCTGCATTTCCCAGAAAAGCAGATGTGAGAACCGAATGTTCAGCTTAGTCAGAGCAGACATTATACGGCCAGCTTCTGATATAAGAACAAAGAGGATGATGGGCATCAAGTGCCCTGCCACCTAGATGCTCTTTCTAGGAGACATTCTAGCATAAACCAAACAGTAGTGAGAATGCACCTGAAGGTTTTGTGTTACGTGTGGGGAAAGAGCAGCTTCAAAGAATGTCTAACCCAGATTTTCTCTACACTGGCTGAAGTTTGTGTGAAAAAAGCCTCTTTCCCAACAACCTACATGCAAATCCTGGCCCCTCCACATTGCATGACTAGGATGTCATCAAGGAGAAATGCAGTGACTAGCACTGAGTCTTACTCACAGCAGGCTAATCTACATAAAAGGCATGACATTTGAAAGTACTTGGTTTAACTTTCTGCTGAGAGTCTTTCAAATTATGTCCTTAATTAAATTACACTGACTATAACGTTTGCTTGGCAGAGCAATACTTATTTGACTTAACATTTTAATGTGGTTAAAAAAAAAACAATACTCCAGTTAATTTATAAGTGTTTCTAATTGTGTTAAAAAGATGATTAACCTTAAGGTCAGACTGCTGTGTTTCTTTTGTTCCAGCATTCAACTCTGCACAGGTTTAGTCAAGTTCCCCCAAAAATCCGCAACAGTTATTTCAGGGCACTTTTTAGGATTAGGTGAAGATCATAGAAGGTTATAGACGGAAGCCCCAGCAATCCGTCCACCTCACATGAGCAAGCACTTAGCAAGAGCAGGGAGAAAAAATGAAACCTAACAGGAAGGTGGCCATCTGCCGAAACTAGCGGGGGCGAGAGAAAAAGATGCACAAATTTATTGCCCTTGCTAAATCTCATCAGCTTGTCAGCATATAAGACGACTTGTACAGATGTCATAAACAGATGTTTATCTGTTGTGTTACATCAGTTCTGCTCTGGCTCAAATTTTTAATCACAAGATGGCTTGATAAAGAGAAGAGATCAAAGTCTTTGAAATCTATTTTAATGTATGGTTATTTTTTCTGTCACAATAGAGGGAGAAATAAAGAAGAGCAAAAATAATAAGTACCGGTACTGGAATCAACTATGACTCATAACAGCAACGAGAGGCCCGAACATTTTCTCCACTGTAACCTTCAAACTGAAGACTTTAAACACACAAACTTCTCATATTGTCAAAATTACTTAAAGAAAATCTCTCTGTCAAGATTTCAACACTGTAAGCACCTAGATTTACAGTGTGTGTGTTTTTGTATGCACTGCAGTTTATTACCATAGCCTCCCACCTTGCCAGCCGAGCTCACTTCGATGAGCTGCAGATACATCTTGGCCAAATATCACACAGCACTATGCACCACTACAGCAACTCAAAACTCAATTTCCAACACTTGATTAGAGCTAAATGAATTGTTACAGTGAAAGAGACAACATGCCGACAAAGTCCAATGACAGGATATTAATGATACTACAAGATTTAGACACAGTAAGCCAGTGTGTATGTGTGTGTGTCTGTGTCTTTGACCTTCAGATGAGAAGCCTGAGGAAGGAAAAATATACTGCAGCGGGAGATAGCGTCAGTGTTTGTAAATCGTCCTGAGAGCGAGTGTGAACACGTGAGCCTGTGTGTGTGTGAGCCTGTGTGTGTGTGAGCCTGTGTGTGTGTGTGTGTGTGTGTGTGTGTGTGTGTGTGTGTGTGGCAAAAGAGAGAAGTAAAACTGGGAAGTGTTATGGTATCTCAAAACACAAACCTGCCTAGCTTTCAACAGAGAACTTTCTGTCTGTCAAGTGATCAAGAGAACTACAACTACTTCGAGAAATAAACCTACTTATGGAACCTCACAACAACCTTCTGTTAGACAGATATAGCAAATGATTAAGACGACACTTTGATAAACTTGAACGAATACGTTTTTTAAGAAAAAGGGCATCTACCACTGAGAGACCATCTCTAGACAAAATACTTGACCCACATGCAGGAGTTGTGGTGCAGGTAGGATACATCTCAGGAATTAAACTTTCATTTACTCTTAAATTAAGCGATTTGATAAAGGGAAAGGTTTAAATAACCAGTGTCACACTTCTACTGAAAAGAGTTGAAAAAACGACCAGTCATATTTTTGAGAGCAAACTTAACCCCTGACTCTGTGGGTACAGATTCCCCTGACTTAAGCTTGAAGATGCCAAAACACCAGCTTGACTACTGCATTTTTCAGCATGTGGCTTTCAGAGGTCTTATAAGCGAAAACATTGCTGGAGCTCTGATTACTTCATCGTCTCCTCCATGCACCTAAGAAGTGGATGAAGCTGTACCAGAAACATTTGCTGGCACCGTACACTGCTGAACCAAATCACAGGTTTCACTCCTGCGTTATCACACCATATCACCAGCACCAAGATTTCCACAAACCTTTTTTGAACTCCTCCAGCATGGCGTCCAGCTTGGTGTCGTGGAAGACGAAGTGGACCGGATGGTTGTAGAATTTGGTGATGGTCTTCAAGGTGGTGCAGTCGTCTGGGTCCACGAAGGCCAGATCCTTGACGAAGAGGATGTCCACGATGTTGGAGCGCTCGTCTTCGTACACGGGTATCCTGGTGTAGCCGCTCTCCATGATCTCGGACATGGTGTTGAAGTCCAACACAGCGTCGCTGTGGATCATGAAGCAGTTGTTGATTGGCGTCATGACATCCTCCACTGTTTTAGTCCGGAGCTCCAGCGCTCCTTGGATCATGTTCAGCTCCTCTTTCACCAGGTCATTGTAGGGCTCGGTGACTTTTAACATCTCCACTAGCTTCTCTCTGTTGTACACGGTGCCGATCTCCTGGCCCAGCACGCAGTCGAGGAGTTTGCTAATGGGCCAGGACAGAGGGAAAGTCAACAGCATGAACAGCTTGGTGAGGACGATGGTGTTCGCCCCGACTGCTAATCCGTGTCGGGAGCAAAGAGCCTGGGGGACAATCTCGCCAAATATTACGATGCCGACAGTGGAGGCGACGACTGCTCCGACCCCGGACTTGGTGAGGTCGTCCAGGAGGATGGTGAGCGTAGTGTTGACCAGGACATTACCGAGCAGCAGTGAGCACAACAGGTAGTTGCCCTTCCTACGAATGGGCTCGATCTTCCGCGCGTACTTCTTCTCCTTCTCTGTGCCGCAGTTCTGCACGATGCGCAATTCCATCGGATCCAGCGCCATCAGTCCCAGGTTGAGCCCGCTGAACATACCGGACAGCACCAGCAGGAAGCAGATGAGGATAATCTGCAGCCAGATGGGCAGGAGGGACTTCTTCGCTTCCACCACGCGCAGCCTGCCGTCTTCTTCGTCCATCAGGTACCACTTCTGATCCCGGGCGTCCAGGACGCACAAGCCGAACACTTTCACCATCTCATTCTTACGGAGCTGCTTGATGCTGAGGGAGACTGTCCCTGAGGTGTTTTCGTCGTTTACCTTCATGGGTCCCCTAACATCAATATCATTCTGATCTTTGGGACAAGTCCTGTTTAACCATTTATCTGAGAAATCATCATCTTCTTTATTACTGACGAACAGTTTACCGAACCCGATGATATCCGAGCTGTTGGGGAACAAGTGGAGCCCGTAGACCCTTAAGGAGATGTCGCTCCCCTCGGTCACCTGAATATCTCCCCTTTCGGTGGTCTCGGCTGGCTTGTCGCTCTTCTCTAGCCTCATGCCGAGTATCCGCGTGGTTTCCCTCGAGTCTGAAACCGAAGCTTCAACCAGCCTCGTCGCAAAAACGTATGAAAACACGAATAAAGTTAACGTAAATCCCCAGCCACTCGAATCCATCGCCATGTTTGTTTCGCTCTCTGCCAACAGGCGAACTGACGTCACCTACTCGTTTCCACAAGCCCGCCTCCAAATTTACATATAAATATCACCCAATCGGAAGCGTTTACGTCACTAAAACTTGGGCCGAGCCCCAACAGTTTCATTTTTTTAAGGTCGACTGACGAAATTTCTTTTAAAGGTGGACCGTGTGGGAGCAGACGAAAATCAACGCATGAATGATAAACATTCACGATAAACAAATTTTAAATACACAAGTCATCCAATAATCACCTTTTATGATATTTTCCCACAACGATTACATATATATATATATATATATATATATATATATATATATATATATATATATATATATATATACATATATATATAAAAAACTTAATTATTGTGAAAAAAGATAAACAGTGTTACAAAGTAATTAACGTGGTCTTTAACTTCATTTTTATTGAAGAAAATACCAGTTAAGTTGTATATTTAGCTACTCTATGGCACAGAAAAACCCAAACTGAGTCATAAAAGTATCAACTGTCTTAATTGTGAAGCAGTATCAAAATAAGTAGAATACAGAGAAATGTGTTTAAAGTCAATGATTTAGTCTACAGAACCTTTGTAATCGCAGTATGCACAATGTGACAGTTAATGAAATCAGTTTAACGAGATTAGAAGGGGTAAGTAGTGTCACTGATTTGAAATACAATGCATGTTAATGTTATCTACTGTCTCTAGTAATGCTATTAACACTCCTCTGTGTGCTGTGAGCTGTGCAAACTGAATATTTGAGGCAAGAAGAAAAACCTTGGGTCACAAGTGAATAGAATGCCAAACTAGACACACTCACCGGTGGATAAGATACAACACCAAAGACAATGAAAGGATTAATCTCTGAAACACACATGCCTCTTAGCATTTTGAGAAAATAAATAAAACGTTTTAAAATTTAGTTTTTACACGTTTTTTTTTAACGAAAAGATGCTGGTAAATAGAACCACGTGTGTAAATGTATTACTTTAATCTTGAATTACTTTTTTGTTGACATTGTATGTAAATGCAATTATTGAGGGCAGAGCACCATCTAGTGGTCAAACCGTGGTGAATGCAGCCTAACGTGCTGGTGTGAAAATAGTGAAGGAAATGAGAATGATTCTAATCGAATGATTCTAAGTAAAAATGAGGCTCAGAATTGTGTATATACATAATAAAGGCCTTCAGGCATGCAGCTACACCCATACAGGATCTAATTCAGTTCACTGGATGGATTTGTAAAATGTGAAAACTGCAGTGAAAGGATTAAATTCTCTGCATTTACTTGTAATTAGTGACAGAAAACTTTTTTTGTTTTCTCCGCTGAGATCAGGCTGGAAAATGTTTCTGGCCCATCTGACAGCTTATCTGAACCTGTTTTCAGGCTCTTTGCACTCCTTCTTTTCCCACCTTTAGGTCTTCTAGTTCTTGAACATCTTTTAAAACTGTTGCCTTCCTCCATCCTTCTGACAGTAACTTGTAGCCTTTTTTTCAACCTTTAATCAGATGTTGTTTGGATTAGTTTGTTTTCAGAGGATTGTATACTGATGCCTGTACACTATCACTCCATTTTATTTCCTCATGTTAACCTTAAACAAGTCTTGTTTTAGCAAAGATATGCATGATTTCCTGCATCTCACTGTAAGCTAAACTTGTCTTCAACAGAGAATCACATATTGCTCATTCATCCATGGAAATACTGCAAAGACACCTCTTTGGCTTTGTTACATTGAATATATTTGAGAAACAAAAACAAACAAACAAACCAATATGTTCATTTCATTGTATGGTAATCATGTTTGCACGTAGAATTTAGAGGTGTTTAGTATATTCTAAATACATTTTCTTTTATTTGTTTTTTTGTTTAATTTGTGTGTACTTTTTTCTTATTTCTGTTTTATTTTGGATCATACTCTAAACATAAAAAACAAAAGTTCTCCAGACTTTAGAGGACGTGATGAAGAAATAAAGTGTTTTGTCACCAATCCTTTTATAATCTTCTCCACTGTACGATGTGTAATGGTAACACAAATCTCTCTTTAGAGAAAAACCTGGAAGTACATGAAGAGCCACATTATTCATTTGATTAATTTAAACTTCCTTCAAATTTTTATTTAACTTACCTAGCCCTCCTCACAGGGTTGTGAAGAAGCTCGCACATGTTTCTGTTTCTATAATTCGAGGAACTGAACAACATGAACCTTTATTATTTATTCTTTCATTGTGTCAAGCTGAAAAATGTAGCCATTGTAAGGTCCATCATTTGCTTTCCTGATAGTAGTGATAGTATTAAAATTCTGACCATACACTGAAAAAAAGAACATGTTGGATTTACTTAATTCACTAGTGGACATTGGTTGCACAAATGATTTTCTTTGGCAGCAACTTAAACAACTGAGGTAAATTAACACTTAACTTTAAAACACAAGACAACTTGCAAGAAATAGCCAGTCTCCTTTTTCAGTGTACTTCTCTGCATTCATAATTTGTCACTCCACAATATGAGTCGCCACTGATTTAATTTGAGTTCTTGTATAATTTGGTGTACCCGGTCTTTTTTCCCCATTTCCCTTCCTTAGAAATAGCTTCTTCACAGCCACACTTCCACTGAGACCCCTTCTGATGATGCTACAGTGAACTGTACATGGATCAACTGAAGGCCTGATGCATCTCTCAGGTTCTGTAACTTGTCCTTGTTGGATTTTCTCCCTATTTCTCAAGGACCTGACTTTCAGATACTATTCATCAGCTACTTTTAGCCCTGCCACTTCTTTAATATGCCCCTCACTTGTTTCATTAAATATTTTTCAAGGACACACAATGTTCTGTGAATAGCTATTTGGGAATCACCTTGTTGGTGTAAAAATACTAATGTATTCCTGTCAAACTATCTTTGGCATTTTGATCAGATTCAACTAAAGAAATGGGAACACATTTTGTCTTTTGTGGCAAGCTACTAGTAAAAAAAGTACCTAAAGAGACATTTAACCACTCAAATGTGTCCAAATGATTTATTTGAATGACGTGTTCACTCCTGGAAAAGAGTAAGAAGACAAAGAAGAATTAGAGGAAGACCATGACCAAAGTGGTTAAGAATTTCCCGGCTGCAGTCACTGACTGCTGATGGATTTTTATGTTTTTAATAATAATTTATGTGTGTAAAGTAAAGGCGAGCCATCTGAAAAGGATGATTACTGAAAACAAATGAAGAATAAAACATATGAAACTTTGAACATGAAGGTGCTTTTTAAAAATATGTTTTTAGCGACACCTTGTGGCCATGCACAATGCTGTTTTCAGCATTGTGCATGGCGGTCTATGACGAGAAGTGACGTGAAAGCCTGAATTCCATAAAAAAGCCAAAATGTGAGAAGGTTGTTGCAGTAGAGATCTCAGTTCACAGAAGCACACACGAACACAACAGTGTTAATACGTTGTTAGATTACAATATATGGCAACATTTAATTTCTTTGTTTTATACATTCTTATAAAATGTTGTCCTCAACCTTTCCTACTGGTACATATACTCTATGCAGTCATCACTGTGGCACGTTTCACCTTTATAATAATCAATTACTGATAAAAATCATTTAGTTGCAGCTGCTGAACATTGCAACCTTTCTCTGAGTTTTCTGGAGTTGCGTTAGACTTTAGGCTTTAAGCAGTAGTGGTTTCCTCCTTTGGTATTCAGGAAACTGAAACCTCAGACAGGGAGCTGTGAGAAATGCTGCAGAAACTTTCAACCAAACAAAACTGAGATGAAAAAGAAAGGAACATGTCAGTGGTGTAAAAACAAAAGGAAACAAAGTCGTAAATGCCAGTTTCAGGAAATGAAGGTGTAAGAAAGAAGAGACTTTGAGAAACTGTCAAGACATCCTGAAGATTTCAATAATGTACTAAACAGATTTGTGCAGCAGCTAAAGAAAGTGAAAGACAATTTAACTACTCGGATAGCGTTTGCCATTTTTACACTACATTTAGCACCAGTTTAACAAATACGAGTTTTCTAATAGAAAACCTGGTCAGCTTTTACTTTGTACAGCACCACAATGAAACATTCTTTACCACAGCTGCAGCAGAATAAAAGTAAAAGAACTGTTAAAGCTGGCAAATCTGGAATAAAAGCTGTATTTTAACAGTTAAATGTGTCACTGTTTTACTAGGAGCTACACGTCAGATAAGTTTAGCAACCTGTGAGAAAACTTGCCTTTCCTTAAAAAGACAAACATTTAAAATACATCTGACATGTTGTTCCTTATTGCCTATGTGGGTGCTTTTATCAGGGCTCAGGGGGTTGGGAAGCGTATTTGTAACCGGAAGGTCGCCGGTTCGATCCCGGGGCTCTCTGTCCTGGTCGTTGTGTCCTTGGGCAAGACACTTTACCCTACTTGCCTACTGGTGTTGGCCAGAGGGGCCGATGGCGCGATATGGCAGCCTCGCTTCTGTCAGTCTGCCCCAGGGCAGCTGTGGCTACAACCGTAGCTGCCTCCACCAGTGTGTGAATGTGAGAGTGAATGAATAGTGGCATTGTAAAGCGCTTTGGGTGCCTTGAAAAGCGCTATATAAATCCAATCCATTATTAAATATAATAAAATAAAGATGTTTTTGTTTCTGCTCTAAAAGTTCAGTTTCACGTTTTCCTACTCTTCACTTTGTATCACAGTAAATAAACAGAAGGCGGATATTTGAATCTTCATCTCAGGCCGTGAAGCTCCACCCACCTGCTGTTCAAACCTTGTGTTTGCAAGTTGCAGCAAGTCAGAGTGTTGGCTTAAACGGAAAGCAGTCTGGAGCAGCCAGGTAATAAATAAGGATTATTTTGAACTTTGAATCAGGCAAAGATACTCTACACATCAAGAATAAAAACAGGTCTGGAAATGAGCGTCACAGGTGTGCAGGTTAAAGAGGCTAGTCCTCCCACCACTTCCTTCTTGAACTTTAACTGAACTCTCCTTCAGTTAAAGTTATTCAAACCCCTTTAGCATTTGAAAGGTGTCAGCTGAGGTTTGGGGAGATTATTATTAGCATTTATTTTTACAAAGT